TAGCAGCCGTGCCCAGGATGCCGTCACCAGCGGGGGTGTTGAGAGAGGGCTCATCCAAGAGCAGCCAAATCGCCACCTTCCTCTTCTCGCCGGCCTCCGCCGGTGTCCCCGTGCCACCGGCTTACACGGCACCTCCGGCCTTGGGCGCTGCCGCGCAGGGACCCGGGGTCAGGGTTGGGACATCCAGGATCTGCCGTGCCTGGGCGACTGAAATCGGGGCTTTCTGACCCTCCACTCCCCTTCGGAGCCGGGAATTCTTCAGCACGCGTTGCCCGCAGGCCTAAGAACAAGCAGAGCTGAAAAGGCATCTTTCCTGCTTTGCAGAAGCCAAGGATCCATAAAGAAAATTCCCTTTTACCCTCTCCTCCCTCCTCACGCCGCCTTCCTCGCCTCAGCCCTGCACGTCCTCTCCCTTGTGATGCCTGCAAACGCAAATCACATCCAATTCGACGCGCTCGTCTGCACGCGGCCGTGCTCCAGACCCTTCAGCTACGAGGGAGGGGGCACATCCCAACCCTGCTCCTCCTCCAGCAAACCCCTCCGTGGAGCCCAGCGCTGCTCTCCTTTGGCACAAATCAGCCTTGAAATACTGTCTTATTTCCCTGGGGACTCGGAGCTGCCAGAGACTCGCTCGTGCTGATTCCCTGCGATGTGTCCCCCAGCCGCAGCCCCTGATTTCGGTGTGGTGGAACTGGAGCAGCTCACCCTTTCCCCAGTGCTGCTGGCACCCTGCGAGGCAGGCGAGAGCCCCCCGTGGTGAACTGGCTGCCTGCTGATCCCCCTGCTTTATGCCCTGCATTACCAGCATTTCCCACTTCTGTGCCCTTGAGGTGGAGGAAAGCAGCAGCTTAAGAGGGTTTGTTCTCCCAGCGGAGCCGAAACGCGGCCATGGGTCCCTGCACAAACCGAGACAGAGGATTTCAAAGGGATGTCTGTCACCAGGGGAAGGCGCTGATGGCCAAAATGAGAAGAAAATGCCTTTTCCTCGCCAGTTTTCCTGCTGGAGCCGTCTGTGCTCAGTCCCCTGCTGCACACCGTGGCTGCAAAGGGGGGAATGGGTCGGACCAGGCTGCGTTTGAAGTGCCTCTCTTGTTCCCTCGTAGCCCTGGCCATCTCCCACAATGTCTCTGTTTTCTTTCTTCATGTTTTTGTCTCGCATTGCTCATCCCTTTCCCTTTGGGCCAGGACCAAAACCCACTGAGGTTTCACCGCGGACCTCACCAAGCTCTGGGTCTGCACTTGTCCTGATTCCCGACAGCTTTTTCTGCTTTTAGATAACTGATGCAGCAGATAACACCTCTGCTCCTCTGGCTGACCTCCCCTCCTCTTTTGGGGCAGAAAGGATCAGAAACCTGAAGTTTGGGAGCCGCTGTGCTCCTGTGCCATGTCCCAAACTCCCGTGGTGGCTGGGGCAGGGTCTCCCAGTGCTCCCCCTCCTCCGAGCAGCCCCTGCTCCCTGCATCCGTGCCTTGATGTGCTGGGATACACGTGCAGAGCAGACTGGACCTGGGTGCATGCCCACCCCAAGGAGCCCTGCCCACCTCTGCAGCACTGTGACATGAAAAGAGAGAAGAGCATAGAAAGGTCGGTGCAAAGAAAGGTGAAGAAGGGGGAGAAGATCCCTCTCGAAGGGGAGAGGCTCTCCCAAAGCCTGAGGCGGAGCGCGCAGCCGGTTGGACTGTGTGGGTGAGCTGGTGGTTGTGCTCCTAGAGATGGTATCTGTTGTGTGCATGTCGATGTGTGCATCTGCTGTTGTTTCGGAAGCGAGTCCCTCCCAGTTGTTTTGATGAGCGTCGCCGCACTTAACACACGGAAATGCCTCTGCTGCTTCTCCTCACCCCTGTCCTGAAGTGCCAGAACCAGCCAGGAGCAACAACTTCCCTTTTAATAAAGCCAGAGGAGGTCCCTGTGGACCCCGGTTGTTCCTGCAGCCGGTGGGCACGCTAGAGCTCACAGCAGGTAGCCCAGCCTCACTTCACACTGTGCAGAGCTGTTAGATTCACGAGCTGTGACATCCAGCAAAGGCGTCAAATAAAGTCTTTCAAACCCCTGTCCTGGCTGTGAAATGTGGTGTTGATGTGAATCTGTTCTGCTAATCCAGCCTGCTTGGGTGGCTGCTGGGTTTGCAGCTTTTTCTTCCTGAAAAGCTTCAAAACAGGTAAAGAAGTAGCTTGTAAGGTAACATCCCTGCTGGTCGTTGTGCAGCTGCTGCTTTTAGTAACTCTGGTCCCATTCCTTTTTATTTTGCAAACCACTACGTGAGTCAAAACCAGCCGGAGAGTCAGCAGCGCTGGCCCTGAGACTGGCAGCAAAACGTGGCTTGAGAGCAAACCATTTCATTTAGCTACCAGCGTCCTCAAAAATGTCAGGGAACAACCCGGGTCCAGCAGAGCCTTGCAGCCAGACGCCGAGGGCTCGCCTCGGTCTCCTGACCCCTTTGCAGACAGGACCAGAATAACCCCTGCTGCTGCTGGCTGTCGGGAAATGCTTTGGCCTCAACAAAGAGCCACGGCTGAGAGCTTGTCTCTGTTGTGAGGAAAGGGGCAATAAACGATCTTGCTCGTGAAAAGATGTTGGGAGAATTTTCTGGGGAATGGTGGGAATTCAACTTCCTTTCCCATAACGCCTCCTCGCTCCAAAACGCCTTTCAAAACTGCCCATAAATCCCTGCTTTAAGTGCTGCGTTGGGAATTGCTGGAAGGGAGCAACTGCAGCTGTGATGGAGGAGCGCAGCATCCGTCTGGAAATGGGGAGAGACTTCAAGAGCAATAATGGGGCTATTGATGAGGGGTCAACCCGCTGGTGTCCGGGCTGCCCCGACCCGGCTGGAGGCGGCGGTGGGAGCTCAGTGGCTCTGGTGTGGCCTTGGCCAGGGACAAGAACCCAATTGCCCTCCGTGGGAGGCAGGGATATGAACCAGCCCTGCAGGCTGCAGTGGTAAAACAAAACAGACAGTGACAAAACACCCAGCCCACTTCCTGATCGCTGTGGATCAAACAGGAGCCGAGGCGGCTGAGAGGGCATCGCTTCAGGCCCGTGGGGTTTTCTCCCCACAGCAACGTGGTGATTAGAGCAGTGGCCCGGGACTGGCGCTTCCTTTTTCTTCCCAGGCTTTTCCTTAGCCTGAATGTCTCCTCTAACGCATCGTGGCAACTTTTGATCTACCCTGTAGGGGAACTCCCTGAATTCTCTGCTCGCTTCATCCTCCTTCTTCAGGCGAAAAAAAAACACAACAAACCATAACGAGGAGGCCCATGGGAATGCGTGGGCTGCGCTGGGCGCAGTCCGGCTGGGTGGCACATGGGGATGTGAAACACCCTGCCCTGCTGTGGCGACGCTAGAATCAAACCGGGTCCTGATGGACCATGAGGCTTCGCCTGCTGCAAGGAGGAGACAGGGCCATTTCCAGGCTGTGAGAGGTTTGCTGTGTAGCAGGTGCTCCAGCAGCGAGCGAGTCCTGCTCTCCCAAATTCCCCTGCATGGAAAATGTTGCTTATCTCAGTTGTGCTGTTGCTTGCCCTGGGTGAAAATGCTCTCCCTTCCTGCTCTTTTCTGCTTGGAGTGCAATCTCGGCCTGCCCTCTGCTGGTAAAATCCCAACGCAGAGGAGGAGAAATCCTAAACCACGGTCAGCATTTGGAGAAAAACTTGCCATCTGTGTTGAAAAATAGATGATGATTTATGATGAACATCAGCCACCAAGGTATCACTCAGACACAGGATAGCAGAGCAGCCTGGGAGGCCTCTGGGTGATGAGTCTCAACCCAGCGTCGTTGCTGGGGATGGGTTGGCAGATGAAGACATTAAAAGATGTGACCTTAGCTCCAGGCACTGCTGAAGGTCTTGAGAGGGTGAACCGGGGGGATTTTGGGCATTGCTGGTCACCAGGGGCAGTTGTACTCGTGTTTTGAGGGCAGTGACAGCCGCGGGGTCCCTGGGGCAGTTTTGGGCGCTCATGAAAAAGGGCACCCCCAGCCCATCAGTTTGTGTTGGATATGAAAAGGACTGAGAATATGAGACTGGAGCTGTCTGCACGGCGTCTCCTGGGAAGGGTTGCAAATGTCAATAAATATGTTTCAAATAAAAGCCATTTCCAGCGTAGCCACCGCAGCTGCTTGCAGCCAAAGGGCGTTTTCTGTGGAAACACGTTCCTCGAGCTCTGCTGTGTTTTGACTTTGGCTGTCAGAAGCAGGACCCGCTCTGAACTCCTTCCACAGCAAAACGCTCGTCTCAGCCCATGGTTTCCCAGCTGAGGAGACCTCAGGTTGTAGAGAACTGAGCCACAGAACAGCGGCAGGCGCTGGGTGCGATCCCACCAGTGCGCACCAGTGTGCACCAGTGCTGCCTCCCAGCACTGCCAGCGGTTGGGAGGAGAATGGTGAGCTCAGGAGCTCAGGTTTGTGTGTTTAGAAAATAACCTGGATGAAAATATTGAGAAACATTACAATTTACTTTGCTATTGTTACATTTTATTCCGCTACACTTGATTATTCCACTGTCATGAAGGGATAGGGATCATATCCCATCTTTATGATAAAATTACCACTTTTATAGCAAATTAAAGGCAATATAATGAGGAATCCAAAACCCCAACAGACCAGCTACCAGCGTCTGTAGATTCTCTTAGTCCCCCTTAACAGGACATCCATGATGCCTGAAGGTCACTGATGAATCATTGAATCCCGTGCTGCTGTGTCCTCACGCTCTGCTGAAGACGCTGGAAACGGATAATTACGGATCTCCCCGGAGCTGAATCTCATGAGCGTGAAGCTGTGGGGTGGTGGAGGGGGGGTGAATCCCTCTCTTGTTCCTTGCAGCTTTCTTCTGCATTCGGAGTTGCTCAACCCTCACCCTGGGAAGATGGACTGACAGCTTGCTCCTACAGGGAGACATTGAGGACCCTTGGTCCTGCTCCAGAGCAGCCCATGATGTGAGCTGGCACGGAGCCGGGGCTGCTGCAGGAACTCACACTTATTCGGGGAAAAATTATGCTCCGAAGGGCAAAAGGCAGATTGGTGTGGGAACGGCTCCAGTGACGGCTGCTCCTTGTCTCACTGCCAGCGACACTTCCAAAAACCATAGCTTGGAGCAGCGAGAAAAATGATCCCAGAGGAGTTATTTGCTCTCCTCGTGCATTCCTCTGCTTGCCCTGCTCCTTGCCTTGCTCCCAGCCCTATGGCTCCGCTCATCTCCAGGAGGCTCCCCTGGGCCCTTCGTGTTTCGTGACA